TGTGTTTAAAAAACAAAGCATCCACTTAATTTTCAACTGTACTAACAGTATCGATACAACATTGAGGAGTCTTTAGGGCACCTTAGGGCATGTCTATACTGCATGCGTATTCTGAAATAAGCTGTTTTGAAATTTATATTTTGAAATTGTTTATTTCAAAATAGAGCATCTACACAGCAAATGTCCATTGAAATAGAGCCGTGTTCTTTTGAAATAGAGTGTCCAAACTCATTGGATGCTGAATTGCATTTAAGGCCACCCAGAGCCACTTCAGGTCAGCCCTCTTTTCCTGGAGTTGCTGCCTGAAGCTCGAGCTTAGGGGGGCATGTCTCAGGTTCTACTCCTTTTCCTATCTCCTTGAAGGACAGCAAAAGCCTTTTCTTTGCCTGCTGTGGTTGCCCTTGCGGACACCTCAGCACTCTAGACATGGAGCTGGACCTGCAACCTAGAAGATGATGGCTTGTATATGTCTTAGTGTACTTCCTGCTGCAGTTTCTGCGGACTGCCTTCCAGGCCCTGCAGGAACAAGACCCCTAGCTCCTTGTGGGGCAATTCCTCTTGGCTCTCCAGGTGCTACTCATGCCCTCCCCTGCACATCACGCACCACTGCGTCTGGCGACTGGACACCATTTCTGACTGCTGGAACTGGATGATCCTGGATACATCCAGTGGGATGACCAGCAGTGGCTCCAGAATTTCCACATGTGGAAGAACACCTTTTTTGGAGCTTTGTGAGTGGCTCTCCCCCGCCCTCTGGTGACAGGACACTCAGATGAGACTCACCATCACCATCCAGAAGTAGGTTGCCATTGCCATATGAAAGCTCACCATGCTGGACAGCTACCAATCTGTTGGGAACCAGTTCAGCATGAGGAGATCAACTGTCAGGGCCATGGTCATGCAGGTATGGTGCTCTCATGCTGTTGACCCGGGGCGGGAGGATGAGGGGGTGAAATGAACTGCTGGAGTGGGGTTTCCTAGGCAAGGTGTGGTGGTGGTGGTGGTGGAAGCCTCCTCCCTGGAAGTTTTTTCAGTCCTGCCTTCACAAAGCCCTAATGGGTGATAGGGCATGTCGGGGTTGATTCTGGAGTGTGTGTGGGAGAGATGGAGCTTGGGGAACTCCCAAGGGTCTCAGCACCACTGTGATTCTCTGTCTTCTTCTACAAGGCTGTGAGGGCCATCCATGCCATCCTGCTGCACAGAGTCATCAAGTTGGGTGATGTAGACCCTATCATCGTCAGCTTTACCAGCATGGGCTTCCCCAACTGCGGGGCAGAGGGAGAGCTATTGACAGCACCCACATCCCCATCGATGCCCCCGATCACCGGAGATCTAAATACATCAACCGGAAGAAGTACTTTTCAATGGTCCTGAAGGCCCTCATCAACCACCACAGCCAGTTCACCCACATCTACATCGGGTGGTTGGGGAAGGTGCACAATGCACGTGTCTTCCAATACTCCAGCCTGTTCCAGAAGCTGCCTGATGGCACCTTTTTCCTGTACCACACCATCAGGGTTAGGGATGTAGAAATGCCAGTCTGTGTTGTGGGGGACGCAGCCTACCCTCTGCTCATGAAGCCTTACACCAGACAACTTGACCCCATCAAGAAACTTTTTAATGCCAGGGTGAGGAGGACCCGTATTGTGGAGGAGGGTGCCTTCGGGTATCTCAAGGGGAGATACCATTTTGTCTCATCTCCTGTCTGGACCTCGTTGACCAGAATGTCTCCCAGGTGATGGTAGCGTGCTATGTCCTCCACAACCTTTGTGAAAGGAAGGGGGAGACATTCTTGCCAGTGTGGGGGGCAGAGGCTGACCAGATCGGCAGGGCCTTTGAGTTATCCTGCAGGCCTATCAGGGGACTATGTCAATCTGTGAGGCCCTTAGGGAGAGTTTCTCACAAGGAGCCCAGTGACACTTTCCCTTGGGCCGCCCCACAAGGGGTCTGTGCATTAACCCTCTTTGCCTTTCTTCCTCCATCTTTCTTTTCCATTGACCTCCCTTTCATCCTTCCCCTCCCCTTCCCTGTAGAGATAATAAAGTACACTTTTTGTTTGTAAACAATCAACTCTTATTTTTATTGGGGTGAACATAACTGGAAAGGGACTGGGGAAAGGACCTGAGGGGAAGGTGAGGTGGAAGGGAGAAGAAGGTGGGAGGAGAAGCTTAGGGCTGGAGCTGGAAGTGGCACTTGTGTCGGGTGAAGGGCCATCGTTGACCATTGAGGGGGGTAGGTTCAGAAGCTGGAGGGATGGGAGACAGCACAGGAGCGGCCACCACGTGCCCGAGGACTATATAGAACACCATGAAAATGGATCGGCCCTGCTGCAGCAGCTCCCACCAGGAGTCGCGGTGCATCTGCAGGTCCGCCTTCAGTCCCTGTTCCTGCCAATCCAGAGAGTGCTACAGAGTGCTGAGGGTAGCAATATGCTCTCTCTGGAAGTCCTTGTGGGCTCTCCAACTCTGGCAGATCTCGCAGGGTTGGGACAATGGCATGGGAGGTTTCTACCGCTCCCCTCTTGCAGCTGGTCCAGATGTGGAGAACAAAGAGAAGGGCAGTCATCCCAGGAGACACCATGCATGAAGCCTAGCCCAATCTCTGAGCCGAGACCAAAAGACCTCAGGTCAGATGAAGGTGTTGTGCTTCCATCAAGGCCACCTGAGGCCTAGACAGTGGGGTGTGTGTGTGTGTGTGTGCGCGCGCACGCGCACGTCTGGGTGTCTCCATGTCTACAGCCCAGTGTCAAGAGTGAGGCAGGCCTCTCCAGGCACTGTGTGAACCAGAACACAAGGGCCCTCTGTTGCAGCCTCCTGGGTCTGTGTGCCCTGGACTGGCACTCCACATGCACAGGCTGCTGCAGAAACCCCAGATCAAGAAGGCCGAGCGAGGAGCATTCAGCAGCTCCTGGCCGCTCACCACCTCCACCCATGTGTATCTATGGAAACTAATGACACTCACCTGATGGGCCTTCCACAGCATCAGACAATGCTTGGGAGACATCCAGGGTGGGAGCAACCAACTCCAGAGAGAGCAAGGCCTTCTCACTGGCGGGCATTATTGCCCTGCTGGCCTCGTCCATTGCTCCTCTTCTTTCTCCTGCCCATCTCTGCCATCTGGGAGGGTGACGACAGGCATCTCCAGCTGTGAGTCAACTACCAGGATGGGAGGAAGGACTGACCTGCCCTCTAGGATATGGTGAAGCTCATTATAGTCAGGGGAAGTTGGTATGCTGCCCTGGAGCAGGAGCTGCGCTCTCTGACCTTGGCATAGACCTGCCTGACCTATTTCATCTTCATGCGCATCTGCTCCTGGGTGCGCATGTGGCCCTTGGTGTCCAGGCTCTTGGCCATCCAGCCACAGACATCTCATTCCTGTGCCTGGTGCGGAGATCCTGGAGGTTTGCCTTCTCACCGCAGACCTCAGTGAGGTCCAGGATCTCTGCACCAGACCAGGAAGATGCAAACCTCTTTTATCCCCTGACAGAGTCCTGGGAACTGGCTGCAGCTGTGGAGGGCTCAGACGGAGCACAAGGGTGGCTCACGGCCACAGGGACAGCTGTGCAGGCTGCTGCAATGTGGCTCAGGGCGGTCAGGGCCTGCCTTGTGCCACAAGCCCTTTCCACTGAGTCTGCGCCTTTAAAGCCTGCAGGTCCCCTGTGGGAAGGGCAGAAGACCAATTATTTTGAAATAACTCCAGCTGTTCTGTCTACACACACTCTATTCCGAAAGAGCTATAGGTGTTATTCCTCGTAGAATGAGAGTTAGGGTATGTCTACACTACCCTCCTAGTTCGAACTAGGAGGGTAATGTAGGCATACCGCACTTGCAAATGAAGCCCGGGATTTGAATTTCCCAGGCTTCATTTGCATAAGCGGGGCGCCACCATTTTTAAAACGCCGCTCGTGTCAGTAAATAAGAGAAGACAGGATTATGCAGCACTTTAAAGACTAACAAGATGGTTTATTAGGTGATGAGCTTTCATGGGCCAGACCCACTTCCTCAGATCAACTTGTGGAAGAAAATTGGCATAACCATATTGTGACGGGGTGGAGCAACCCCGCCACTTGCTAACGCCGCCCGAGGCAGCCAGCGGGGGGGAGGCAGCGAGCGCGGCAGGCCGCCCGGTTCCCGGGCGTCTGAGCGAGAGGGGAGTGGCGCATCATCAGGCGGCGCCTAGGCTACAGAGGCAACAGACGGAGGTGCTGCAACAGCTAACCTCCGAATTCAGGGAGCAACAGAACTTGCCCTTAAAGACTGACAGATTTATTTGGGCATAAGCTTTGTTATTTATTTTAGCAGATTTATTTGGACATAAACTTTTGTGAGTATCTGACAAAGTATGATTTTACCCATGAAAACTTATGCCCAAATAAATCTGTTAGGGTATGTCTACACTTGCCCCCTAGTTCGGACTAGGGAGGCAAATGAAGCATACCGAAGTTGCTAATGAAGAGCGGGATTTAAATATTCCATGCTTGATTAACATATTCATGGCCGATTGCCATTTTAAAATGCTGGTCGCCCAATTTAACTTGCCGCATGTAGAGGCGGTAGTCCGATTTAAAACCTTTCCCTCGAATTAACTGTTACTCCTCATTGCACTCCTCATTATAGACACTGTACATTCATCACACTTTGCTTATAATTCAAAAGCAGCTTTGTATTCAGTCAGCCCTAATAAAATGTCTGTTGATTTTGCTAAAATCTTTTCTAGACTAATGTAAAGTGTATTAACAGGTATTGGGTGAATGACAATGAAACGAATACAGTAAACAGACTTTATCCAATAGAATAAGTAGCAGTCCACACTGCGGCCAGATGCTGGCACACAGATAGCTAGAGAAGGCAGAAGTCTATATTGGCACTTCTTATGTGATCATTCAGGCCCTCCACTTAAAATGCTGCTAACTGCATACCAATAAAATCATTAACACTTGTAACAAGAGTTTACCAACCATAAATGTTTTTTTTGCATGTGATTATATAATCCCCTCTTACTTTTCCTCTCTTTTCCAATCTCTCATTTTTCTTCCTGTGATTGCTGCAGTCTCTCAGATCTCCAGGCTAGCTTTTCCCTTTTCCACTTGTAGCCCAAGGTCCAGTGTGTTTCAGCAGCAGCCCTGGGAACAAGTTGTGGACTACAAACTGCGGCATGTTGGGAGAACTTCCTGGTTCCTGCCAGGATGTGCCCTCTGCCCCCAGCAGGGTCTCAGCAAGGACTGTGCTAGAAGCAACACACAGGCTGCGTGCTGAGAGAAGGGGCTGCTGAACTGTTTTCCTCTTCTATGTTTTTTACAGAATAAAGCCTGTTCCTGGTGGTTTGTCGGAGTGGGTCTGGTCTGAGGTGCACTCACACATACACAACGCAGAGCACACCAAGCAGCCTCAGGCCTAGCCCTCCCCCTACAGTGGTGTAAGAAGTCACAAGCTTCCCCTATGCTGAATAACCTCCCACTGGGCTAGCCAACAGGAGGGGTTACATTTTTTAGCTACTGGTGCCGTGACTCGGATAGGGGAAGCTTGATTAGCTTGCAGAGAGTTAGGAATCTGCCACACCAGGATTGCATGAACTCACAGTTTGGAGCCCAGGGGGGCTGGTATGACCCGGGGTTGGTGTCAGTGAAGGTAGAGACCTCTAATGGGTGTCGTGGCCTAGAGATCCCTGTGGCTAAGGATATAGCTGTTGGAGGGGAAACCTTAGGGAAGAGCATAGCAGTGCCATATCTCCCTGGACAGCACCAAATCTGTGGGGTGCCTGTTTTCAGTGGTGGTACAGATTGCAGAGGAGACATTGAGGACCTCCCTGCCACTTGCATTCCTGAGCCTCTGAAGTTCCCCACCCTTGTCAGATACCTAAGTGGGGGAGCCCGTAAATTAGTCCTTAATCTGCCGCCTCAGGAGCAGTTTCCAGCCCGAGCTGTTGAAGAGCTTAGAGCAGAATACAGTGACTGTCATTTATCATTGGACCTCATGGCAGACTTTTATAAGAGATGCCAAAGCCCTAGAGAAACAGCCTCAGCCTCATCAAGTTAGAAGCCTTACTGCGGGTAGTAGAGGAGAAGCTCCAACAGAGCCGATCCTTCCCTGATTGGGACTATAAACTGACACAACAGTTTATGCGGGGCATCCGGGACCGAGAAGTGCGGAACAGGTTGGCACCTATGCAGCCTCGCTACATGACATTCCGACAGTTGCAAGAAGAACTGTGTCAGTTGGCCCGGGAGAGGAATGTAGAGGGTAGAATGCATGGGCCAGCCCAGAGGATAAATAGCCTGCAACAAGCTGCCCCGTCAGATGATGCTGTGCAGGCTGCCCCTGAGGTACCTCCACCCAGCAGTACCCCGCATCAGGCAATGCTGGAGACAGTGAAGGGCCTAACTGGACTAGTCCAGGAACTGACTGCCCTCCAGACACAGAGCCATGTGAGAATGGGACACCTGGAGGCACAGGTTTTGCAGCAAGGTGTAGCAGTGAGGGCAGCACCTCAAAATTCTAGATGGGAAAGTGGTGGAAGTACCCCTGACAACAGTGCCCGTGTCACCAGAGGCCGTTTTGTATGCCACCGTTGTGTATGTGGACAAGAAGGCCACATAGCCCGTGGCTGCCGTCAACTCTCTCAGGCTCCCTCTTCTTTAAACTGCTAAAGCCTGACACTGAGAGGCAAGTGAAAGGCACAGAGTTGGTGAGAAATTCCCCAATAGCATCAGTGTTCACAACATCCCAGTGTACCCGACCACCTGCCAGCTGGCCTCCCAGCCTGGTGGGGCCCTTGACCGAGGAAATTGTGGAAGTGAATGGTATTCTGTGCAAGGCTCTAATTGATTCAGGGTCGCAGGTCACAACCATCACAGAGGATTTCTGGAGAAATCACCCTACCCTGGGCAAGTCACATCCCACGCCTGTAGATCTCTTGATAGAGGGTGCTGGTGGCCAAGCAGTCTCATATAGGAGCTATCAAATTAGATTTATCTTCAAAAAGCTGCATCACCTCATTTGGCATAGTAGTGGCATATTTTATCTAACTTCTGAAGAAAAATGAGCATGTTGCATCATTTTGTACAAATACAAAGTAGTGATTTTGAACACAAATTTGAGCTTAGCTTGTGAAGTTTGTTTTCTTGCAAAAACCCTTCAATAGAATTATTTGCAATTCACTAAATGTTATCTGCTACGAAGTTAGAGTAGCCTTGTAAGTTAATGGTGTATGTAACTTAACATTTAACGTATAATATTAAATAAGACACTCAAAATACATTTATCATAGATCATTCAGTCACTTTCACTTTACTGTATTCAGAAAGGGAAACAGATGTAAAGATCCTTGGAAAAGTGGCTGTACCAAGTCAGTAATATCCATAGGTTCTAATTTTGGTGACATGCAACTACAGCTGACCTCTGGCTACCACTGCAATGACCACTTTCTGGGCCCAAGTTACAAAAAATTCCATTTCTCCCCTCCCTGACAGTAATCTAAATCTCACCTCCCAAAACCCGTGAGAATTCTCCTTTAGCCCCTCTTCCCCTGCACAGTGATACTTCCCTTTATTATGAATGGTAAGACTATTTAGGTGAGAATTATTTTTTTGGGGGGGGAGGGAAGGGGAGAAAGCAGAGGTGTTGATGGTTCAGTCTACTACTGGTGGAAAATAGGTTGAACCATAGAAAATGAACTTCATCACTGCAATGCACAGGAAGAGAGCAGCCTTTTAAGTTGCTATTAGGCATATTTTTTTTTACAGTAATCTGCAAAATAATTATGAAGTATCTAATAATTCAAAAATACATGAAAAAGGAACTATGACAAGTTTTAAAAAAAAGCAGTTTGGTGAGGGGGCTGCAGGAAAAGAATGCAGTAATCTCTAGAGTAGGATCCTACCTGCCCAGACAGCAGTCACCCAGTGCCCGGGAGAGGCAGAAAGAAGTATCACCAGTGAAGATATTACTGAACCAATGGAAACGATTGCAGCTGGTAGAAGGGATCCTTTACAGGAGAACAACAATCCCAGGAGAGGGACAGATCCAACAAGTTGTGCTACCAGAGAAACTCCAGAGAGAAGTGTTTGAAGCTCTGCACACAGACATGGGACACATGGGCATTGACCGTACAGTGGACCTCATCCGCACTCGCTGTTATTGGCCAGGCATGCAGTCCACCATCCAGAAGTGGGGATCTCAAAAAGCAGAACCACGCCCTATCACCCCCAGGGGAACGGGACTACTGAGTGGTTCAACCGAACACTCATGAATATGCTGGGAACCCTGTGTCCAGAGCAAAAGGCAAATTGGAAGGACTATGTTGAGTCCATGATTCATGCCTACAACTGCACTCGTCATGAGTCCACTGGGTTTTCCCCATTCTTCTTAATGTTTGGCCGGCACCCAAAGCTGAAGATAGATCTAGCTCTGGGTCTCCCCCACCGAGGAAATTAGGGGTTAGAGGTGGAGGAGTACATCTCCCACCTCAGAGAATTCCTGGAGACAGCGTACCATCAGGCTGCACAGGCATCTGAAGCTGCCAAACGTCACCAGAAAAAGTATTATGACCGCCAGACACGAGACGCCCCATTAATTCCTGGAGACAGGGTGCTAGTAGCCAAGGTAAAGAAAGGGAGACAGAAACTGGGAGACAGATGGGAATCAACTCCCTATATTGTAATTAGAAGACAAGGGATTTGCCTGTCTATGTAGTGCAGCCAGAAACAGGAGGGGGGGAACTGGTGATACATCGTAACTAAATTACCCCATGCATGTTTCTACCTCTTAGTGGAGTCAGTCAACCAGTTGGCAGGGAAGTAGACATGCAGGAAGCCATGCCAGAAAATGAGGGAAGCCTCCTGTTGGAGGCAGGGGCAGGAAGACAAGGGATTTGCCTGTCTATGTAGTGCAGCCAGAAACAGGAGGGGGGGAACTGGTGATACATCGTAACTAAATTACCCCATGCATGTTTCTACCTCTTAGTGGAGTCAGTCAACCAGTTGGCAGGGAAGTAGACATGCAGGAAGCCATGCCAGAAAATGAGGGAAGCCTCCTGTTGGAGGCAGGGGCAGGAAGACAAGGGATTTGCCTGTCTATGTAGTGCAGCCAGAAACAGGAGGGGGGGAACTGGTGATACATCGTAACTAAATTACCCCATGCATGTTTCTACCTCTTAGTGGAGTCAGTCAACCAGTTGGCAGGGAAGTAGACATGCAGGAAGCCATGCCAGAAAATGAGGGAAGCCTCCTGTTGGAGGCAGGGGCAGGAATAGAACTTACTAGAGGCCCTATAGATAGCCCGGGGGGCTATAGAAGAAAGAAAACCTGTAGGGGGTTGACATACACAGGGGATACCCGGGACATGGGGGAGCCAGGATTACGCTGCAATGAGACCCCAGAGCCAGACAATTTTGACTCAGACTCTCAGTTCTCTGACCTGGAGGAGCCTGACCAGACCATGGGGGTAACAGAAGAGGCCGACCAAACTGAGGAGAGTCTGAATGAACTGAATTGGATCGGAGAAGGGCAGACTGACTGGGACCAGACTGAAGAGATGCCTAGAGGGAACCCACCAGCTCCACGGTGCTCAACAAGACAGCGAAGGGCACCTGTCCGGCTCGATTTGGAACAGAGGACTGCCTGATGAAAGAAGAGTAAGGACTGGGGGGTTAGCCAGAGCTGCTGTGGGACGTGCAGCAGGACTCAGAGAGGTTTTTGATTAAGGAAAGGGACAAGGTCGCCCTTTCAATAAGTGGGGGAAGGGTGTAGCCCAAGGTCCAGTGTGTTTCAGCAGCAGCCCTGGGAACAAGTTGTGGACTACAAACTGCGGCATGTTGGGAGAACTTCCTGGTTCTGCCAGGATGTGCCCTCTGCCCCCAGCAGGGTCTCAGCAAGGACTGTGCTAGAAGCAGCACACAGGCTGCATGCTGAGAGAAGGGGCTGCTGAACTGTTTTCCTCTTCTATGTTTTTTACAGAATAAAGCCTGTTCCTGGTGGTTTGTCAGAGTGGGTCTGGTCTGAGGTGCACTCACACATACACAACGCAGAGCACACCAAGCAACCTCAGGCCTAGCCCTCCCCCCACAGTGGTGTAAGAAGTCACAAGCTTCCCCTATGCTGAATAACCGCCCA